CGAAGCTTCTCTTAATTACTGGAATCGAGCATTCCTCGCGATAGATTGTCGCTGAAAGTAGTCCTAAGCCCCCCGTTCAGGTTACGATTGCGTGTCGTAAAGTTAAAAGGTATTTCGGTACTATCGCGTATGAATTTTTAATAATTTAAGTATTGAATTATTTAATAAGTGAATGTGGAATGAAATCTATTGAAATCTACTAAAATCTATTGAAGTCTATTAAAGTCCATTGAAGTCTACTAAAACCTATTGAAATCTGCTGAAATCTATTAAAAACTCATCATCGGCTCGCCAATACTTTCAACAAAATAATTGATTTATCCACAAATTATTCATTTTTAATTCTACCGTTACACCTACATATATCAACCATAAAATCCACGTACTCAAGAACCAAAATGATGCAATTCCTCACAATTTCTACCCACGTTAATTACAATCCGAAGCGACTCAGTTTCTGTTGGAAACTTGAACCCGTATTATCTTAATTCGATCGTAAAATCTTCCGAGACATCTCTGCAAAAACGACCACTTTACTAAACTTGCCTAACTCCGATATCGGAGAATGCATTGCGCGAGAAAGCATTGGTGGTCCTGCACGATGTGGTGGTCTAACGACTTCTCGATTAATTCCAGCTACGTCTTCACAGTGTGTAACTCTGTTAACGCTGCGCTCCGGCGAATATTCCAATGAACGACACCTTCCCCCCCCCCCTTTTTTTTTTTTTTTTTTTCCCCCCCGTTTTTTCTTTTTTTTTTCGTACGCTTCTAACGCGCATTCGAGAGGCGGGTCACGTCGAAACGGTTTATCGCCTTCGATACGACATGCCTGACCAGTCGGAGATTTTGCACGAGTACGATTTCGAGGACACGGAACTCTTCTAACGCGTTTTAGCTATTAGCGGGTATATATCAAACGCGAGGCAGGGACAGAGAGGAGAGAGCGAAACAGAGCGAGAGGGGATCAATTTCAAAACCTGTTGGAGGCCACGATGGTCGTTCTTTCTTCCTTGTTTCTTCTTCTTCTAATGGCACGAGTTAGCCTTCGAACTCACGTGTAACTGGTATGCTTCATTGATATCGAAATTCCCTTTAACAAGATACAGTGGCGATTACCTCAGTTGGTGGTAGTATCACTTTCAGCGGCTGTGTATCGAATTTATAATCTTCAGCTCGTCGTTTCGATGTTTCTCGATGTTGGCGTAAGCGTTCGATGATGTACGTGAAATTGTGGGAAGTTGGTTGAATCGTATTTGGTTTTCGCTGTTTTACGAATTGACTGCGGATTCTTATGCAAATTCCTATTTTTGAGGGTATAGTAAAAAAAAAAAAAAGTAGAATTTACTAGGTATAATTTCGAGATTTTGTATATTTTTTCATGTTACCGTGCATTCTGTGCAATTTTGCAACTTTCATTTTTCTATAATTGCATGAAAATCCGCTGTCTACTTATGAAGCATCCCCGGATTCGTTTATTTCTTTCTTTTTTTTTTTTTTTACAAAAATTAATTTTCAATTGTACCTTATATCTTAGCTTCGTAAGTTTTATTTTCTGTCAGAAAAGTTTCCTGGTAGCTTCTCATAAAGCCTAGAGTAAAGTTCGTTGGAAACAAGTGGATGAACTTTAATACTTCAGTTATATACATTTTAAAAATCAGTGCAACCTAATTCACTGCAGTCTTCAAAATTGACACGTCTCCTCGCTTTAAGTACAGTATCTCTTTCTAAAGTAGAATTATTTACGGAACGTCGTTTCGAAATTTCTGAAAAAAAGAAGAAAACAGTACACTTCCTAGAAATAAAACAGCAAATGAAGGTTAACACGATGTTAATCAGATTTTTAAATTGAAGAAATTACCAACCCGCTAAACCTGAAGAACTCGATATCGATTTTCACATAACAGGATCTACAGTTAGTAAAATGACATTTATTTGCTAATGTTGGCGATTAAAAGTGTTCCACTACGAGCTAAAGCACTAGGAAGCTGAGAATTCCAAGAGGCAAATTTCAAGATTCCTCGCGATAGATTGTCGCTGAAAGTAGTCCTAAGCCCCCGTTCAGGTTACGATTGCGTGTCGTAAAGTTAAAAGGTATTTCGGTACTATCGCGTATGAATTTTTAATAATTTAAGTATTGAATTATTTAATAAGTGAATGTGGAATGAAATCTATTGAAATCTACTAAAATCTATTGAAGTCCATTGAAGTCTACTAAAACCTATTGAAATCTGCTGAAATCTATTAAAAACTCATCATCGGCTCGCCAATACTTTCAACAAAATAATTGATTTATCCACAAATTATTCATTTTTAATTCTACCGTTACACCTACATATATCAACCATAAAATCCACGTACTCAAGAACCAAAATGATGCAATTCCTCACAATTTCTACCCACGTTAATTACAATCCGAAGCGACTCAGTTTCTGTTGGAAACTTGAACCCGTATTATCTTAATTCGATCGTAAAATCTTCCGAGACATCTCTGCAAAAACGACCACTTTACTAAACTTGCCTAACTCCGATATCGGAGAATGCATTGCGCGAGAAAGCATTGGTGGTCCTGCACGATGTGGTGGTCTAACGACTTCTCGATTAATTCCAGCTACGTCTTCACAGTGTGTAACTCTGTTAACGCTGCGCTCCGGCGAATATTCCAATGAACGACACCTTCCCCCCCCCCCTTTTTTTTTTTTTTTTTTTTTTTTTTTTTACGTGGGGAAATC